ATAAACGAATATTTACATAATTCTTTCATTACCCTACAAGAAATCTTACCGGCAAATGACCGGTCACCTAACGGTCAGTGCTGATGCAATAATACTGCAATTTCCTCATCAGAAATTCGGGGGTAATATGAAAAACCTGGCCAGTTCTTTTGTGTAGATGTGACTATGCGTCCCTTGCTCACATGGGTATTTTACCAGCAATGCTAGTAGGTCTCTTTTCTACTTATTGTATTTCCTAAGGTTATTTTTACAAATGTTTTTCTGTATACTGGTGTATATTTTAGTGTGTTAGTGAAGAGGTCAGAAAAAAAGTCCTTTTCTTGTAGGGTAGTAAATTGCAACAAGATTGTTTATTATTAAAGTGAACGAACTCGTTAATTCAAATTAATGTTGACAAAAATGCAACCGTGTGCCACAATCCTGCTTGCAAATTCTTACTGGCAAACATTTTCCCAGCACGAATTTGCAACTTCCCCTCCAAATTAAATGTCAAAATTGTGCTCTCTCCTTGCAAGTTTTACTGGGGTTTTGGCTAAACGAACACGATTTGGTAACAATTGGTACCAACTTGTACAAATTTTTTGCATAGCGAACACTCCTGTTATTTGAGCCAGTTTTTCGTATTGCCGGTATTACCGCTCGCGAAAACACAGAAATCGAGAAAATTCATTTATGATGGCTTTTGCAATCATGCACAGTATATATTACTAAATTGTTTAATAAAATGTTATTATTTAAACCCACGAAAATAACAATCGAAACGTTCTCCGTCAGCAAATTTGCAACTTAGAAAAACGGAACTACGATCGAAATGTAGAATAGGTATAATCGTAAATTTCGAAGATTGATCGAAAGGAACGGAACGCAGAATACCAAAGTTGCCAAACGGAGAAAATTTCGATTCGAGTCGAAATGCAGAATAGGGCTGATTGTGAGCATCATTTTATAGTGAGCTATAAGTGGTTTATTTCTAAAATTAATTATAAAACGGAAGGCTAGTAAAATACTCCTACTATTACATTGCGTAATGCACATGGATAATCTATTTGTTTATGCAGTTATTTTCATCATTATTTAGTACGGTTAGCTGCATATTTCGGCATGGCCACGTGCATGGTAACTTCACCAAGGTGTTGTTTGCTTGTTCCAACCATTTTTCGGCGCAAAATTTTCAGCCTCGGGACGGATGTGCCTAATCTAAGTGACACGCAGCACCAGCAGCAGTAGAGCGAGTGGTTTATCTGTCTATAAACTATAACAAGGAGCTCTAAGAATTTGTAATTTTTTTACCTCCCTCCCGTTGTTCATATGTCCTCTATAAAGGATCCAAATTAAAGCAACATCCTAATATCTATAATAATATCTCATGGAACACTGCATATAATGCCAAATTTTTTTGCGGTAAGGTAATTTAAGGTATTTTAAAGTAATACTCACTTGATTTATTTTGGAACGAATTTCCGTCATCCCTTGTCAAGTTTGGTTTGCAGACAAACCGGTTTCGGCATTGTGCCATCTTCAGTGTCATTTTTCGTTCTGTCTGGTTCGAGGTTTTGTCCTTAATTTAGGTTCTTATGTTCTGTCTTAGGTAATGTGAAATCAAATCAATCAACACCAACACACTAATACTCACTTATTAACAGCAATGCTAATACGATGAATTAAGCAAGGAATGAAACCGATTCAAAATAACGTTCCGGTTTGGGTTTCGGTTTTGCCAAGTGTTTCGGTTTCGGTTTTGGTTTCGTTCTTCAAAATTTATTTCGGTTTTGGTTCGGTTTCGGTTTTTCACAGAAATTTTGTTGATATTATTTAAATGACAATGTCTTAAACGTTGAGGAAAGAAAATCGAAAATTACAGTTCACTGATAATATCAACACTAGGTTCTTTCCCTAACAATCCGAACCGGATTTGGTAATTAGAGAATAAGAGAAACATTTTCTTTCAAAAATGGAACAAAGTTCAGAAGTACGGAAACGCAAAAACCCACATTTCGTGCCCACAAGTCGAGAAACAGCTGATTCACGTTGTTCTTGTTTTTGTCACTTATACCATGTTCTGACCGACATCGGAAACATGTTTTCGTTGCTAAAACTGGTTTTCGACCTAAAACTTGTGTTTTCGTCCATATAAAATCTGTTAAACGAAAACCAGTTTTCGCTGAAAACTACTTGAAAACTCACTTTCCACTCATTCCAATCGGTGTCTTCACTAGTTTTTTTTCGATTATTTATCGAAGTGGAAGTCATATTTTAACATCTTTAATACGCCATTTCGGATTTTTTGTTAATTGCCTGGCCAAAGCAAAATAAGAATGAAAGTTAAAGGTTGTAAAT